TTTTTTACCAGGGATCAAACTTAGATCCTTGTGCTTGTAAGGCAGGTGCCAGAACTACTGAGCTAAATCCCCGGCCCTGCAAGAAGTTTTGGGAGGAAGCACAGTACAGTCTCACCGAGTCACTAGAATTAATATGATTATTGCAGTTACCCAGTTAAATGGGTTACACCTGCAGCCAGCATTCCCTTCCCAACTATCTCTTTCACACAGGGACATCAAGAAAACCCCGGCTAGAGCTGAAGCCATCTCCAGCAAGGTCAGCACTTCTTTTTGGACATCAGCTTTCAAAGACAGAGGCCGACTGCCCCAAAGGAATTCAGGCTTACCTAGAATTTATGATTCTCCAGAGCAGGTGCTCCGAGTCATTTAATGTGTCCTGAATTTGACTCCTTGAAGATAGGTTCAAAGCTCAGAAATTCTGGCAGCCTCTGCACACCAAATATATAGGCAAAGGCATCACAAACCTAACAACTTAAAATGCACTTATGTGAGTCGATATGGGTGATTTTTCCAATTTCTTGTGTTTTCTTCCAATTTTTCTATAACATATGCATATTAAACCCATAATGTAAACAAACTATAAAATATACTTAAATCCACATGATTCTGGATTTGAAAATGAATTACAGTACAGGGTGCCTCGGTTCACAGGCTTAATTTGTTCTTATGATTTTTGAAATGGTGGCTGTGGTAGTGTTTGTCACCCGATGCAGTTTGCAAACAAAAACAATATTTTGCCAAGTGCTTTTGTTTTTGAAACAAACTGTTTGCAAACAGAAGCGTTTGTGACCGGAGATGCCACTGTATATTCCAGAGGGGCAGTTTGAGCTAAAATACCGAGCTAACAATATGTTCACTGCTTCTCATGACCTGATTCTGAAAAGAACAATAAGATCACAACTGTTAAGCCTATAACTGAAGGGCTCATTCACAAAAACTCACATAATCTCTCTGCACTCTGTACAGCTTCGGGTTTGTTGGTTTTTCTGGGATGGGATTCGGTGATTTTATTTACTTTGAAAACCCTTAGCCAATCAAACCTAAAAAATCCTCAGAAATACATTTCCTGCCAACAGTTATGGGAAAGAATCCTTCCATCAGTGGTTGGAATTGTTGAGAAAATACTCTGAGTAATTCTTCAAATTTCTCCTACTTTTTTAGGATTGAATGAAAATGCAATGCAACCACTCCTCCAAAATGAAACCATGCAAAATGAGAGGTGTTCTGGACCCCTTCAGAGTCACGGTGTTTTATCACCTAGGTAGGAGGATATTTTGCATATAATATACAGTTCCATTGCTAATGTGTGTTATGCCCTCTCCGAGTTAGGACGAGAAGGATCACAGGTCCTGGTCAGATGTGCAGGATGGTATGACTAATGTACTCAACCCGTGACAAGCAGGAGGGGCCGCCAGCCGTACACAGAGCAATATGGAGAGACGGCTCTGCTTTCTAGTGCCGTGTGTTGATTGTCACATCTGATATATCTGTCAGCCGCAGTAATGAGGCCCCTAGACCACCCGAAAGTCACATCAAAGCAAGGTGCGTGGCAAGAGAAAGGAGAAAACAGGGTGAGCCATCCTGTTGCTCATGTAGTCCCTTCCAGAAGGCTTTGCTTGCCCCCCCATACTTTGGACCCAATCTGGGCAGCACGCGGAAACCTTCAGCATCCACCCTACGGCTCCACAGTGAAGTGGCATAAGGCTCCCAGGGACCCTCCTCCTGCAGGCGGGAACCACCCCCCACGCTGGCAGCCGGGAAGAGGTCAGGGCATTTTCAGCTTCGCATCCCAGAAGGCTTAGCGGGGTGTGTGCTGTGGAAAGAAGGTGGAAACTGTGCCCCGGCCACTTGTCAGCTGGTTCTTGAGCGAATTAGTTGAACTCATTAAACTTCGGTTTTCCCATCAGTAAAATGGGGTGGTGACCTTTTCCTTATAAAATAATATTGCAAATATTGCCATGAAGTTATAGTAACGGATATATATGTACATAATAGTATATGTAATATCAAGTACAGTATAAGTACACATATGCATGGCACAGAGATGAGTTAACCTGGGGCACAGACTAAACCACGCTGAAGGATAAAGCAGACGTCTGAAGGGAGAAACACACTGAATCCCTTTGTGTGATCTCATGTAAGACAATGGGTGTAAGAATCTTGACTTTTGTATATATTTGGAAACAAATGAAAATGTAAACATGGAGAAAAAAGCTAAGCAAAGTGGGGGACTCCAAACTTAAAAAACAATAGGTGAAAGTATTGTTTTTTCCAAAGGAAATGGTTGAACTCATCTTGATTTTTTAAAAGATTTCTATTTTTCATACTTTTCTAAAATGCCAACCATACTCTACTGCTGTCCTCTTCAGAACGACCCTGCTCAGCCCTGTGCTGTCTCTCTCTCCTCACACCTAGGACCTCACCCAGCACCCCCACGTCTCTGGTCTAAGTGCCCAGCTGCTTTAATAGATTAGTGCTGCTGTACCTTGCAGCCAGCTTTGGATCTGTATAGCATTTCCCCTTAGGTAGTTCAGGCCCATGCGTATCTCCCCGGTCCTTTCAGCTAACACTTTCCTGTACTGCTCAGTGTGTCACCATCCAGCTCACAAGCCCTCGTGACTAATGCACTCCTCTGGCCCACTGCATGAGACTGACATACAAAGTACTGTTTTAAAAAGCAGAAAATGAATCACAAATGCAGAGGCCGTCAGTTTTGAAGCATGAACAGGACTCACGGGTTTCCCACTGTTTGAGATTTTCTGTATGGAGGTGAACTGGTGCACAGCAAAGCACACCAGGTAAGTGCTCATGGGGACAGACTTCTCAAAAGTTGTTCGAGTCCAGGTGCCATCCACTGGCTCTTTTTTCTATGGAAAACACAAGGGAAACTGTTATTTATCAAAAGATTAATCACATACAAGGTAAGTCCAAATCAAATTCTCTAGTCTGAATTCCTTTGTCGTGTCTTAGGAGTAAAACTGTGGTAATGTTCAGAAGAATAAAGGAAAATTCACTTAATTTTCAGTTCTGTGAGTGATTGAATCACACACTGTCAGATTCTCAGGGAGAAATTCCGAGTGTCACCTCAATCCCAGAGGGATTTGTCTCTCTTCACTGAACACACCGTCCTCACAGTGCTGTTCTAGGGCACAGTGATCCCATCCTGAAGAGTAAGCCAGGGCTCAGAGATGGAAAACGAAGTAAAAATTTGCTAACTTGACTGTGAGCTATGTGTTCGATCACTGTATCGGAAGTAATTGAATGTCAGGGTCTCTTCCCACCTCCGGCCGTCTGCCCAGAGTCGTCACCTTGGTGATCACGGAGAGAGACAAGAGTCAGCGGCTTGGCCCGACTGCTCAGCCTTCTTCCCAAGTTCCACAACCACTGTTTAGTCATTTCCACACCCCCTGTAGCTGCTAAGTGAGAAGTGGTAAAAAGAGACTAAGTAAGGCAGGCTGGACTAAAATCCGCACATAATGATAGTGTGTGTGTGTGTGTGTGTGTGTGTGTGTGTGTGTGTGTGTGCGCGCGCACATGTACATGTATGTGCACACGCATGCCTGTATAAAAATGTTGAGGCTCTGCAAAGTTAAGTGATGCACAAGAAAAGCCTAGCAGTATCAGTTTTGATCTCCCAATGACCATGAACATTCTCCCTCTTCTGGACCTAGGAGAAGGCAAAGATGTACACTTCTGTGAAATGCTTAGGTCGTCGTAAGTAGAGGTTAGCAAGTTTGTTTTCTTTCTCCTCCCACGTTCCTTTCCCTCATTCCTGCCAAGACTTGCCAGTAGCACAGTGCCCTGAGCCCGTGTCTGGACTGTGTCTCACTCTGTCCGTGCACGCTCTCCTTTCCTCGCTGACCCAAACTTCATTTCTGAGGTGCCTCAAGAAAGCAAAGGCGCACACAGTGTGGGTGGCTGGTGAGAGCTTACATTTTAACCCTCTGAATTCGTGTTTTATTTTCTCTTTGCTTCTTGCAAGGACTCTGTTGCTACTAGAAGGGATGAATTTCAGTGATGAAAGTTAGGAGGTATAATTCCAGTTTTACCCAGGGGTAAGCAGGATCTTTCCCATGTCAAATGCATAAGGAACAGCAAACCAACTGGAAGATGATAACACCCCATTGGCTGCATTACCCAGTTATGGGCCTGAGGAGCAGAAGCACAGGAAAGAGTCTAACGTTAATTAATAATTGCATAACAGAAGTCAGGACAGCCTGCTATTTATTTGATGTTTGGCAAACCCTTCCTTTCCCCAGGAAGTCTGTGGGCATGGTCTTCCCTGGAGTTGGCTTCGACAGCCCAGTCTTTAAGTGATGATGTTCTAAGTGGAGTTTATCTATTTAAAAGCCTGGATTTATATTCTGCTGAAAAGTAAACAGAGAGAATAAGCATCGGAGCCTTTGAAGTCTGACTTCCCTTGTTCTGCATTGATTTATCATGACTAGGGGACTGTGTCCATTTAGCAGAGCCAGGGTAGGAGGCGTGACCTAAAAGTATAGCGAAAACTTAAATTTTAAAGCTGTATTACAATACAAGATGCTGCATGAGTTCCCCTCAAGATCTGCTCCTCACTTTAAACACACTGACCCTGCCACTCTTGCCACTTCCTGCAGCAGCTCTGCCGACCCCTTCATCAGTGTGTAGCTGCTCCGCCATGGCTGTCCTGAGGCCATTCAAAAAGCTTAATTTTCACAGGTATTTTATCTTTGGGGAAGAGCCAGAGGCCACACAGTGCCGGATCCACTGAATCGGGTGATGAGGACCCATGGCAGTGCGTTCACGAGCTGCCTTCCCTTGGATGGTGTGCAGCAACGGCACTCACCATATTTTTGATCATACCTTGTGAAAACACTCACAAAAAAGGATCTGCAGAACTGCTTTAGAAAGTGTTGGGAACAACAGGCTAAGTGTGTGTGGAGCAAAGGGAATAGTTTGAGGGGAATCGACGGCAATGCCTTTCACTATAATAAATTTTTAAAAATTTAACATTCACTATGTATTTTGGTCACCTGTTGTATGTCTATTGAATTCTCTCTTGTTTAAAATCTCCAGAGTGATTGTATTGCTGGACTGAGATATCTTCTAGGAGTCAAAGAAAAAAGTCACAAAACTACCCTCTAAATCTTGTAAATCAGCAATTAGTGCACATTTCGTTTTAGAATTCAATGGGACTTTTCCTCCACTGCAAATCAGGTAATTCAGCTGATACTCTGACCAGACGATCTGCAGAAATGGGACATTTAGAAATACTCACCGCCACTGGCATGTTTGAAATTGCATCATATTCACTGGGGTGGATGATAGATATTGTGTAAGTTGCCTTTTTGTTGGGCTCGTCAAAGCAGGGGAAGGATTTCCTGGCATCTGTCGGTTCATGATCCGTGGCCGCAATGCTCCTGAGAAACAGACAGAAACTGATGCCACCCACTGCTCTCCTGCAGCAAACAACGAACGAGCTGTGGAATTTCATCTACGGTGCTGCTTAACTTGAGTGCCCACCTAGAAAATACTTGAGCAGCTGGCAAAGTCTCTCCTGGAATTTTAAGGTTAATAAAGGAACGAAAATCTGGGACTGAGTGCTTCCAATATTTCATCAGAAAATTGAGATACTTTGCTACTATAACCGAAAATCTGGTAAATGAACAAAACTAAATGCAATTAGGAACTCTCTGCAACCCGAAGCCATAAGGAACAAGGAGACAAACGCGAAGCCAAACTCCAAGGCTGGTTTCCAGCTAGGATGGGGCAGCTGTGTCCTGTCACGGGCAGAGAAGGTCTCCCAGGGCCCCCGCTCCAGTCCCTCCTGACACATTCCTTCTTATTTATGTGCCTCAGGGACAGAACCCCAGGCCCGGCTCCATGGGAAAGAGGTGCTCAGTAGTCCCCGAGGTTAAGCAAGCTTTGGCCTGGTGTGGAGCCGCTCTGCAGGGCCAGGGAGAAGCTCAGCAGGAGGGCTCACGCTCCGTGCAAGGCCCTGGGCTCCATCTCCAGCACCAAAATACAAACGCTACTTTTGGAAAAAAGACAGCAGCATGGTTTTAATGACTCTTAATAGCCATATGCTTGTGTTTGCTAAAACATTAATGTTTAATATTTCTACAATCTCAAAGTAAAAATACTCCTTTTCCGAGTAGTTTGCTCAACATATCAATAAACACACACTTTTTACCTGGAAGCTATTACAATAAGACAACAGTGCTGTATATTTGCTCACTGGGGAACTAAGCAAGGTAGAAAGTGTAAAAAAAAGAAAAGTAGAGAAATGTAGACTTACATTCATCAATAATTTATCTGAGGACAATATTTTATCTTTAGGGCTCTCCAGCATTAGGGAAGGCATATCTGAGGCTGAATCACTGGATCATTCATTCATCCCACAAAGAGTGAGCCGCATCCTCACACACACACACACACACACACGTGTACACACACGTGCGCACACACACTCCAGACATTAAGCGCTGAGGAAACAACAAAAACGCGACAAGCAGATCATTGGCATCGGATGAGATGAGGGCGACAGACAGCGAGTGATGTGGGGCAGCAGCGGAAGTGACAGCGCAGACCAGGGACCTAGAGCGAGGTGGGGCAGCCGTCCACCGCCGCTGGGACTCGATGTCCGGAGATCCGGCCGGTACCAAGCTGGCGGGAAGATGAGGGCTGCTGTCCAGCAGGGGGCGCCGAGCGCGGGAGCCGGACGTGGCTGCAGGAGGCCAAGGCTGCCCCAGACCCAGACGGGATCCGGGTTCGCCAGGGCCGGCTGAGGAGGGCTCGGCACTGGACTTTGGTTCGGGGATTTATCATGGGCCCTGATTTGTCTGAGGAGTGATGTGCCGCAGGTCAGCCTCTACCCTTGAGGAATAACTTTAGGGGTCCCCCCAGAAATCTTCTAGATAGAAAAAATTACTTATTAAAACTTGGCCAAGAAACAAATCTGCGTAAAAGAAATAAAACCACAAAAGCGGCTGTCTTCCAAGAAAGCGTTGCCTGGAGAAGGGAAATTTCTCCAATGGGACGACAGAGATATGGGTATTTGTCCACGTTCCCTGAATCGTCCTCATGAGAGCTATGTGTTCCGATGGATGTAAATTTCATCTGAAAACGTACTAGTCAATAACAAACTCGACACATAAATAGCAAATGCTCGGGGATATTTTTGCAGTGGCTCTGGGTGAGCCATCTGGAAGCAGCACTCTGCTTTCTAAGCTTGGCACAGAGCAAGCTAGAGTGGAAGGCAGTGCCAGGCGGTCCCGTGTGAGCCTCAGGGCAAAGGCCGCGGGCCCCGGAGCAGCGAACCGGACCGGGCTGCAGGTCTCAGTGCATGCGGGGGTTGTTCATGAAGACACACGTTTCCTGTTTGTGTCTGGTGAGCAACACTACAGGCAGAGGCCAGCTTGTAGTCAGAAGAACAGTCATTTCCCAGAAGATGATTCGGAAACACTGTTTTCCACAGAAAAAAAGCAGGGCTCCGTGGAGAAATGGCCGAGTCTGTGCTGGGTCAAGAAAGCCCAAGGTGACCCTGGGACATCCGTCTGAGCCACAGTTGAAGTACACAAGGACCATGGGAAGGGGTCAAAGGACAAGGGGCTGCTGGACAAGTAGCCCCATGGGCCAAACCTGGGAGAACTGGAAACCACAGTAAATAACGGGATTGTAACCTAAGTCACACAAGAATCCGTGAACCCTTCGTCCAAATTTTTAAATGAATAAATAAATAGATAAAGGGGAAGGGAAAGCTCTTCTGTAAGCAGCTTTCAGAGTCAGATTCAGAAAACCAGAAGTGGAGGCCCACACAGGAGGTGCAGTTGGGTGAGGAAGGGATATCTGCATATTTTCAAAGAATTTCCAGATAATTACTTATAAAAAGAAACGACTGTTACTTTGTGGTGAGAAACCTGTTGGATGCTGCCTTCAGCAAGCAATGAAGGGCAACATCCCTAGGAGTTCTATGCAACCAGCAAGATGTGTCTCCTGGTGTCATTTCCGGAGACAGCATCACTCCTGTGATTCTCCTGACAGACACGCTTGACTCGCATTTGTAAATCACTTAGTTTAGCCAAACTAAATTGAGGAACATTTTAAAAACCACCAGCCCATGCTGTTCAGATATCAACATTGCTGGGCCTGAGGATACATGGCTAGGATCCCAGCCCTCAGGAGGCTGAGGCAGGAGGGTGGCATAAGTTCAAGGCTGGCCTGAACTGCACAGCAAAATCCTGTCTCAAAATTAAAAAAAAAGCTTTGGCACTGTTCCAGTTTAAATGAGTATAAACAGACAAGGTGCTAAAAGCAATGCATGACTCCGGAAGGATGGACTCAGGACTGAGAAAGCCTGATAGACATTAGTGATTAATTAATGAAATCTGACTATGGACGATGGGTTATATACACAACTGTGTTAGCGTTAAACTTCCTGGTGTCAATAATTGTACTGTGGTTATGTTAGAAATTTTCCATCCTTAAGAAATCTTCCCTGAGGCTGAGAAGTAAAAGGAAACAATATCTCCATGCACTTTCCAGGGAGGGAAAAAGAGAAAGGGAGGAAAGAATTTAGGGAGGACATGGGGAAGGGGAGAGAGGAAGAAGCGAAGCAAAAACGCGAGTCCTTGGTGAGCCTGGCCAACCATCTCACGAAGCCCCCACACTCTCCTTGTAACCTCGGTGTAAGTTGTGAACTGCCTCGAAACAAAAACTATCCAAGAAGAGCCCCAGTCAAGAATGAATTCTGCAACAGAGTAACTGTCCATGGTGGTGGCACTCGGACCACACAGCTCCCCGCTGCCGGCTCCAGATTCACTCCCACTGAGCTCCAGTCTTTTCTTCTGGATTCTCCTGGCTTCTGAGGCAGAAGGGGTGAGTGGCTCACCGGACGAGGTCCCACCTCAGAGGTAGGCAGCTGGGAGTGACAGGCAGTGTAGGAGGCAGCAGAAGTCCCGGTCTCAGAGTCTGGTTTCTAAACACTGTCTCGCTCTCTCCCAGATGCTGGAATCCATGCTCCTGAGACCCACAAGAGGACTTTACCACCCTTCGTGTCCTCGGCGAGGACAAACACCCACCCGGAACCAGAGCTTTCAGGAGCTATCTCCGGGGCCAAGAGTGCTGGAGACCTGGCCGCAGGGGCCTTGGCTGTCTTGTCTGTGCCATGAACAGGAATCAGGCACAGCAGGAGTAGGTGAGGGGCATCACCCAGGGTGGCTGCAGAGAGTGTGCTCTGCTCCGTTAGCGTGCACCGCCTTGTGATTTAGAGGGAAACTCTCTTCTAAGAATAAAAGCCCTAGGTCCGAATCCTACTCTGGGCCCTTACAGTGATCTTTAGCAAATCTCAAAACTTTTAGTGTCACCAGATAGGCCCAGCCTCTTCTCAGGTGAGGGCATGAAACAGAGCGCAATCACATGGGTATACGTGACACTCCCCCGACATTTATGTAGTGAGGAGAGACCCTTCACTCGATTTCCTGTAAATCCAGAAGCCTAAATATGCTTTTTGACAGAGCACTTTCCACAACCAACAGCATTTAAAATTCACTTATTTGGCCAGAATACACAGTAGAACAAAATTACTTGGTGTGTAAATACTATAGGCCACATGATCACTTTTTAGAATGGCAAGCTGTTATTTTTCTCATGGACGACTCAGTAACTCACAAGCCTAGAATTACATGTCAAGTTCTGTCAAGAGTGAATGGTTGTAGATTATCTATAAATAACAAATTTCTGAATTATTCAGCAATGTTTGTAAGTTGTTATAAGTATTTATACATTAGTACTTACAAATTATGGATGTTTCTAAACATGATGCAAACTTGAAAGCCAAGAACATGGGATAGCATCGTGAAATGACCTCAGGTCATAGCTTTTCTGCAGAGGTTTCATTCATTGATTAAAGTTGCTTCTTTTTAAAATCAGATGACTTGTGTGGCAAGTGAGTGGGAAAAGCCCAAGCAATCGCAGAAAGCTTACAGAAGTGGCTCCTGGGTGTCCTAGGCAGGTGCTGGTGAGGGGGTGAGAATGAGCCACTCCCCCGGCCATCTCCAGGCATGTTAAGTCCCTCACTAGCACCCATTAATTCACCAAAGGGCCAATGCCCTGGGCTTCCCTGAGTGGCCAAGGTGACCCTAGAGGAAGCTGAGGCAGAGGAGGTGATGAAACAGGACACAGCCCAGTTCCCTCTGAACCAACTTCAAAAAACCAAAAACGACCTGATCATCTCATAGATCATATGGCACATGTCTCCCAAAGAAGACTCCCAAGAACTTTGTAACCTGAGCCAGCCACGTAAGCAGTGAAGTCTGGGTGAAACCCTTAAGTAGAGGCTGCTGGGGGAGGAGAGGCAGCCACGAGTACCAGGTCCACACAGCTCAGTAATGGCTCCAGAATCACACACACACACACACACACACACACACACACACGAATTCACATGCACACACATGCATGCACATGCTCACATAAATATGAGCATCTCACTGAAGTTTCCCTCCACTG